CTTCTCCAGCTCGTCCTCCATCTCCTTCAGCTAAAGGATCCACTTCGGTTTACATTACCACCTAGAAGAGAGAGGAGGGAGTCAGTCACATCATTCAAGCAGCCTGCGTTAAAGGGTTACTGTCTCTTTAAATCTCCGTTGTCAGGCAACGACAATGGAAAGCGTCCCAAGCCACAGACAGCTAGCTAATTTAGCATGTTTTCACGGTGCAGACCGCCTTTTCTCCTGTTAAAAAGGCAGCTTTGTGTTAAACTGTGAAACAACAGTAATGATGGGAAGGTGTGTTTATATCAGCCCCGAATTACACCGGCTAACCGTTAGCTGAATCCAAAGCAAAGGGAAGTCACGATCAATTATAAGACAAATAAATTCACAAGCTAATATAAATCCTGACAATCTCCTTCCCTCCCTCCATGTTTGCTAGAATATCACTGTATGACCAGAAACGCAAAGCAAACATACCGTTTGGAGGAAGCTGCCCTCAGAAAGTTCACTGCATCAGCGCTTCTTCGCAGGCTGCCCGCCTTAGAGCAGCAGCTCTGGAAAAATATCTACTTCCGGTTTAAGCTTGCAGCTTTCAAAATAAGAGCTTCTTTGAAATATAGGTAAATATGCATATATGCTTTATTTATAATTTACATAAATGCAGATACAAAATACCTAAATAAATATCTGCAAAGCCTGGTGTGAGAGAAAGGAGCACCATGTTTAGCATGTGCTGCAGTGCAAAAACTAAACTTTGTTGTGCTTAATATCTAACTATTTGTTTGGCATAATTTAGGAAAGGAAAAGGTGTTTGGGGAGCTTTAAGTCCTAATCTAGGACCAACAGAACCAGACAGTCTCACTTTTAGTCTGATATAAAAATCTGCGGCAGAAGGTAAAGTTTAGGTTGATGGTAAGGAGGCCTTCAGCTCTAGGAGCCCATCACTAAAGGCAGGAAGGGTTTGTTTGCTCCATTCAAAGTTCAGTTCAGTTTATTTCTATAGCGCCAATTCACAACACACGTCATCTCAAGGTACTTTACAGTTCACCAGATCATACAGTAAAATTGATTTAAAGTTTTCTATCTAAGGAAAACCCGTTGATTGCATCGACTCATTGACTCAATGCAATCCCTCACACTAAGCATGCTTGTAGCGAAAGTGGAGAGGAAAAACTCCCTTTTAACAGGAAGAAACCTGTTAAAATGGAGAAATTAGAATGTTTTAATCTAATTCACAATGCAAATCCACGAGGTCAATAAAACATTTGGCCAAATAATGTTTTATCAAATGATTTGCTTAATCAGGAACCAATAACCTTTCAGTTAAATGATTCTTTACCCTCTTTGAAATAGCTAGCAGTGAATAGACATCAGGATTCCACTAAATGACTCTTGGTCATACTTGGTAGTGAAATAAAGCTTGTCCAAGCTTCAACAACAGCTCAACACATGTTCCTGCAGCATAGCGTGCAGTCCATCCTGTTAGCTTTTGTCTTTACTCATCAGTAAACACATGAAATGATCAACATCATCAAAAGACATATTGTTTGCTCTGTCCGTAATTGTGCCAGACCTGCAAATGTCTGTCCTTTCTCTGGAAAGTTGAGTTTCATCCAGGGTTTTCTTGTCCCATGTGGCTCTTACCAAGGGATCTTCAGGAGACTTTCTCCTCCAGTCTGGCTCTGTAAGTTCTGAAACTCAAGAGAAATGTGTTACAAAAACAGTTTGGTTTGCAGCTGTTTGGTTCTGAAAAGTCAACCATCATGATTTATCCTTGGTCATTCTGGAGATCTGGGCATTTTGCCTGGATCTCCATGGTAGCTGCCTCTTCCGATGTGGATCCTCTGGCAGCTTCATGGGAAATCTGTCCTCCCTCTGGAAAAAATGATGTATATTAAAGGGCAAACAGGACCTGTTTGAATCTATCTGGAATTCCTTCATTAATTATGTCAAGAATTTGAATATCTCAGCAGACGGTGAAAGTGATTGAAGAAGTGCAGTTCCCAAAGACTATTTATTTAAGGACATATACTGTTAAATTTAATTCTCAGTATAAGAAGCTAAGTACAAAGTGTGATCAGTTGCATTGGAACCAATATTGTGTGAGACAATCAGTTGTCTTTTTTTTTAATTTGCATTTTATTTTGACTTGAACACTAACATTACTACTGCTGTGGTCATATTTTGTATATTCTTGAAGATGTTTGTTTAAACTGCTAAAATTTGTATAAATATATTCTTGAAAAAAAAATAGAGTGAAATCCTGTGTGTTGTGGTCTTTACTGTCCTTAACACAGAGGGGGGAGGCAAGTCACACCTGAAACATGGACCCAGTGGTTCCCAGTATCTAAAACCATGATCATGGCACAACACAGATTACATTTCATTATGAAATTGCTCATCTTTTTAGAAGCAATATAATCACATGGAAACTAAATTGCTTATCATTTATAAGACACCATCTCACATAAAAACAGACTAGAAATCAATTAAGGAACGAATGTTGATCTGCTATCAACAAACCAAACGATTGTCTGAGAGACAAGAAAACAGTCCATTTCTTTTAAATAAGTTCATTTTAAGGTGGTGTGTCAATAAAATTATCTTTAAAATATGTTTTAAAAAATGAAATTAAAATGTAATTATCCATCCCTTTGCAAATTGTCTTTCCCATTTAAAATACTTTACTAATTTCAAGACACGTTGACATATTTCAGTGTTTGCAGTGAGTTGTACAGCTGACCGAGGTTAAACATTTCCTGAAACTGGTGCATCTTTCATTAACTTGAGCAGATTAATGAGCTGATCTTCCCTTTAAATAAGATATGAAATCAGAGGATTTATATTTAACATTCCATCAGAAATATTCAATTTCCAGCTTAAACTCAGGGAATTTAAAGAAAACTGTATTCACTCATATTCCCATTTTTTGCAGCGGGTGATACTAGAAACCATTTTAATTACTTTTACCTCCAGTCAATCTGTTCTGACTGAACTATAGCTCCTTAACAACACATCAGAACTTTGGTAATTAATGACTGGAGGAGCTGGATGTTTACATTACCTGAACTAAAGAATCGTCGCCAAGATGTGTTTTAAACTGTGCAGCAAAGCCTGTCCTGGTTTACTGAAGGCTGCGACTTCCTACAGTTATTTAGAAATAAATAAGATTTTTTTTCCCCACAGATTAATAAAGAATTGAAAGAAGACAAGTCATCAACATTTGTTTGTGATTTATTGCTCATATAAACGCTTCCTAAACAATTTCTTGGTAAAAATAAAATCTATCAATAACAATCATAAATAAAATCATCACAACGACAGTCACGTGAAATTATATTGCACAATCAGAAGTGTCCAGAAGAACCACAGAACACGGTGTTGTTGCTCAGGCTGTGTAGGAATGTTAGGAGGTCTGTGGCTCCGCCGGCGATCCGGTCCGATCCGGTCAGCTTCAAATCTCTGCTGCTGTCCAAACTGTAACCTCAGAGACTCAAACCGCGACAACAGATCCCTTCTCATTCACTTAAGTTTTGATTTGGAATGTCTGTGTCCACAGAAAACAACTAAACAAACGTAAGATAGTGTGAGGTGATTTCAGAAATTAAAAGTTGTTCGGCCATCTGTTCCAGGTAGGATCAGCGTCCTCCATCAGCGATGATCAGTGATTGGTCGGCTGCAGATGGAGCCCCTGTTCCTCTGCTGGTTGTGCTCACATGTTTTCTACCGATGCTCTCAGTTCAGGACACAGCTCCTTCAAGAACATTTCCATCAGCACCTGCAGAGACACAGACGGTTTGAGTACAGAGGAACAGGGAAGCCTCTGATGCTTTCTGAGTGGGCCTTACGTAGATCAGATGTTTGTTGGCGTTGGCCTCCTGCAGAGCATTGAAGATCTTGATGATTCCAAAGCGAGCGTTCTGCTGGCCAACCAGGTTTGCCAGTGCATCTGATAAACACAAACACATGTACCTAAATCTATACTTAATGATTTCTCATGATTTGACCCTGATGGGCGTCACAGCTGGGATCCCTCCTCTGCAGAGGAGCTGGAGTTTTTTATGGCTAAGAAGAATGTGAACAATGTATATAGTGTTCAAGTCATAGGGGAGTCATATTTAAATGTCAAATCATTCTGCATTCTTAAACATGAATATAAATGCCTTATATATGATTGGCTGAACACCTACATTCAGCCAATCATATATCAAATGTCA